CTGTCTCTCTGTCTCTTTCTCTGTCTCTCTCTCCCTCTCTCTCTCCCCCCTCTCTCCCTCCTTCCCTGTCTGTCTATCTGTCTGTCTCTCTCTCTCTGTCTCTGCCTCTCTCTGTCTCTGTCTCTGTCTGTCTCTGTCTCTATCTCTGTCTCTCTGTCTCTGTCTCTCTGTCTCTCTCTGTCTCTGCCTCTCTATGTCTCTCTCTGACTTTCTGTCTCTGTCTCTCTCTGTCTCTCTGTCTGTCTCTCCCTCTCTCTCTCCCCCCTCTCTCCCTCCTTCCCTGTCTGTCTGTCTGTGGATCAGGATGTAGCTCTCAACTCCTTCTCCAGCACCATCCTGCCATGCCTGCCGCCATGATGATAATGAGCTAAACCTCTGAAACTGTAAGCAAGCCCCCAATTAAATGCTTTCTTTTATAAAAGTTGCCTTGGGGGGAGGAGGCCCTAGAGAGATGGCTCGGTGGTTAAGAGCACTGGTTGCTCTTCCAGAGGTCCTGAATTCAATTCCCGGCACCCACATGGTGGCTCACAACCATCTGTAATGAGATCTGGCGCCCTCTTCTGGCCTGCAGGCAGAACACTGTATACATAATAAATAAATCTTTAAAAAATAAAATAAAAAAGTTGCCTTGGTTGTAGATTCCCTTCACAACAACAGATGGATGATTAAGACACCTACTATGTGCGGGGCCTCTGCTCCTCACCAGTTCCTGAGCAAGCCCGCCTTTTTCTCCTTCCGTGAGCGAAGAGGATGAAAAGCCATGGGTTGAACGCTGGCTCTCTGGTGACCACTCCAGACTCCCACCTCCCCGGTCCTTCTCTGGAGACCCAGAAAGATGTCACCACAATTCTGTCACCATCTCACAGCCAGGCAGAGGAAGTGCCTCCACCCCGGGCCTCCACGTCCCCATCAACCAAGAAAACGGTAGGCAGGCAGTAGGGAGCACTCCTCCCCATCCCAGTGAGAGGTCTGAGGAGGGAGACGCTCTGCCAGCCTCTGCTTCTGGGAATTCTGGAACCCGAGTCGGTTTCTACAGCAGCACCCGGGGCTCAGGCCGGTTGTCTGCTCCCGTCAAACCTGCCCCACTGTGAGCTCCTCCGTGAGTTCTGAGGTGGTAGTGTTTAAAGAAAAGTTCAGTCAGTTTAAAAAAAAAAGCTGCAGACTTTGGGTTGGAGTGCAGTTGAGCGGTAGGGTGGGCTAACCATCTGGGATCCCAGCCCCCAAAAACCCCTCTGTAAAGAAAAACCAGATGGACTCCGAGCTAGCTCAGTCCATGGCCCTGCAGCTTGAAGCTCTCCAGTCGCTCCCAGACAGTACAGTCTGCAGAACCCAGCCCAGTGGGCTGGACCCCCAACCCCCGACCTTCTCTCCCTCCCCAGTCTCTGCAGATACCAGGCTTGCCTTCAAGAAGGAAGCATGCTGTGGCCCAGGAGTGGGTCTGGGGACACGGCCATCCATAGAGTGTTTCCTAGCAGCCACGAAGCCCTGGGCTCCAGCCCTGTACTACATCAGTCAGGCCTGGCGTTATCTCAGCACACAACGCGTAGAGAGGCAGGAGGATCGGAAGTTCCTCAGCTACAGAGCAAGTTCTAAGGCAGCCGAGGTCACCAGAGACACTGTCTTAAGGAAGAGGGAAAGGCAAGAGTCTAGGAAAGCCATGTGGCACAAAGGGTCCAGGAGAGCCATGTGGCACGCACCTCTACCCAATTCGAGCCATTCTTGAGGCTGAGACAAGGACAACTGTGAGTTCCAGGCCGGCCTGGGCTATGAAGTAAAGACTCTGCCTCAATTGATGTCTCCAGCATCAAAACATGCTGGACATGGTGCTATATATCCTCAATTCCAGCATTTGAAAGTCAGAAGGATCTCTTTGAGTTCAAAACCAGCCTGGTCTACAAGGTGAGTTCTAGACCAGCCAGGGCTACACAGACACAGTGAGATCCCGTCTTTAAAAAAAAAAAAAGGAAGCCAGCACAGGCCTAGGTGGCTCCACAGCTAAGAGTACTTGTTGCTCTGGCAGAGGACACATGTGGTGGCTCTACCCCGCCTCCAAAGGCCTCAAAGACAAAATGAGGTGCCGGTCCACCAAAGTTCACCCAAGGGAACCAACGAGTTTATTCGGCTTACAGACAGAGCATGGGTGACCATGAGCAGCCACAGAAGGTCTGTACACTGCACAGTTGATAGCTTCCCTGTGACTAAATCAGGGGTTCTCAACCTGTGGGTCACGGCCCCTTTGGGGAGGTTCACATGTCAGGTATCCTGCATATCTGCTATTGACATTACAATTCATAACAGAAGCAAAATTACAGTTACAAAGTAGCAACAAAAATAATTTTATGGCTGGGGGTGGTCACCACAACATGAGGAACTGTATTAAAGGGTCACAGCATCAGGAAAGTTGAGAACCACTGTCACGGATGGAGTCCCCTCCCCTCAGCCTTCACACTTACATCCTCTAGCCTTCCCCCAAGACACGGGCAACTGGGGTAGAATTGCGTACATCTGATTGGGAAGGGCAGCTGGATAGTCGCGAGGGTCCCACGGCCTTCCATCCCGTCCTCCTGTGAGAGAAGGGAACGCATCAGCACGCCCAGCAGAACTCCCTATGGTGGAGGGTGCCCGGCTTGGAGGACAGTCCTACACAGCATCAGCCATCCATAACTCCAGTCTGGAGATCTGATGCCCTCTTCTGACCTTCTCAGGGACCAGGCATGCATAAGGTGCACATACATGCATACAAAGTACTCGCACACTTAAACAAATCTGAAAAACTTTCAAGAGAGAAAGAGAACATAAAGCAGATTTGCTTTTATTGTAGGGAACGGGCATCATCAGCTTCCTGGGAGACGCTCCTGGCTGGCCACGCAGGGTTGTGGCTCCTGAGGGGACATCCTCACCAGCACTTGTGACCGCCTCTTCAATTACCATCCAGTCTCCAGTCTTCCACTACCAGAGACCACGTGGCTGTGGTATTGTCTCTCCTTTCTGCTTCCCACCGTGAACTGAGGTCCTGCATGGAGTAGGTCTGTCTCCTCCCTCTGTGTCCTCAGGGCAGACACACGGAAAGGTTTTGTGAATTAGGTGGAGCTGAACTGGAAAGGACAGAGACAGTGGGAAAGGATGCAAATGAACCCAGAAACCAGAAGCCAGACCCCCAGCTCCCTGGGAACCCCAGCTCCCTGGGAATTCCTGGCTTGGGTGTGACAGCCCCCATTGGGGGAGGAGCTGCAGGAGATGCCTGAAGGAGCAGGGAAGGAGAATGGTGATCCAACTCTTCTGAGACCCAGGAAGGAAGTTGCCACTGTCCCCAAGGCAATATGTCAGCCTGGTGCAGGGCCCAACCTCAATGGCTGGGTGTCTCCTCGCACCTGATGGTCCCATCTCCCAGAGGAACCCCTCCCAGAGAGCAAGCAAAAGGGATGGAGGATCCTGCCAGGAGTGCCAAATAGGATTCCCAGAAGCCAGACTTGACTGAGGATCAAACTCAAGGCCTCATGCATGCTAGGCAAATGTGCTACCACTGTGCCACACCCTAGACATCCTTTTGTTTGTTTGTGGGTTTTTTGTTTGTTTGTTTGTTTGTTTGTTTTTGGTTTTTCAAGACAGGGTTTCGCTGTGTAGCCCTGGCTGTCCTGGATCTCACTCTGTAGACCAGGCTGTCCTCGAACTCGCAGAGATCCACCTGCCTCTGCCTCCTGAGCGCTGGGATTAAAGGTGTGCGCCACCGCCACTGGGCTTATCGTTTTAAACTTTATATGGAGAGACGGGGTCTCCGGTGTGTTACCCAGGCTAACCCGAAACCTGGTCTGTAACCCAGGCAGACCTTGAACTTGTGATCCTCTTGCATCAGCTTCTGTAGCCGCTGGGACTGCCGGCCTCCGTTACCAAGCCCGGCAATTCCACACAGTCTTCCATTCCAGACAATGTGAGTGCAGCGCTCCAGCAGAAGCAAGAAAATGTTCAGAAATCACAGCCAAGTTCTAAGTGTCCACGGGCAGACCCTGCGGGCAGCCCACCGGTGCTGCCCATCCAGGCTGGGATGAGGAGGCCTGGGGGTGGGGCTCCGACTTCTCCCGGGATTCTGAAAAGGACAGTGGTATGGGGGTGCAGTCTGGAACCCGTTTCCTGCACCAGCGTCCCCCCACAGCCCACACACAGTCCCGGGGACCCGACCCAGCTCTGCGGTGTGGTGTTGTAAAAGGTGCAGAACCCTCTGGGACCCAGGGTCCTCCCGGTGAACAGGTTTCATGTCACTCCCGCCCCAGGTGTCGCCATGGCCTGGGACAGATGACAAGTTGTTCTCAAGGGTTCCTTTACCCCTTTCTTTCTTTCCTTTTTTCCCCATATTTTTTATTAAGAATTTTTTTTACATACCAATCACAGATCCCCCTCTCCTCCCTCCCGCCCCTCCCGCCTTCTCTCCCTACCCCTTACTTTGACTGACAGCAGGATCAGGAGTGGGGAGAAACCTGGAGGGGGCGGGCTCAGGATGGGTGGAACCAGAAATGGGGCGGGGCCCAGGCAGGGCTGACTCAGTGTGGCAGCCACCCGCTGGGTCACCCCCGTGGGTGGGGTGCCAGTCCAGGCCCGCTGGGTTCCCAGAGAATTCCTTCCCCATGTCATCAGCGGCCCTGGTCGGGCACCCCACCCACGGCAGGGAGCCCCTCAGATCCCCAGGAACCTTCACGCTGCCTTGCTTGGGATTCCCACTCGTGCCCCTTACCCACACCAGGAAACCCACGCTCCGTGTCTTGGGAAGCCACGAGCTGAGATGGTGTCTGCATTTTCCTTCACCGCACACCCTCACCGAAGTTTCTACTTCTTCCAGACTTTGGGTGACCTCCTACACCCTACCAGGGGAGCAGAGTGGACCGCAGTCAGAAGACTGGACCACAAGCTGTGGTTCCAGTAACAGATGAAGGAGACCCAGGGCTGGGGCTCCCCGCTAGTCACAGGAGGCAGCCCCGCCCCCACCACCCCCAAACGGGGCCTTCTTAGAACGTGGACTCTGGTTCCGGAGTCCCCAAATCAGATGGTCTCTATTTCAGGCCTTCCGCCACAACCCCTGACTCTGAACTTTCCCACCCAGGGCCCGTCTCAGACTCAGTGAGATCAAAGCCGGGGAGTCGGGTCACAGGAAGCTCCACTCCAGCCCCGCACTGACGCAGAGAAAAGCCTCTCCCATATGTCCCTAGGAAAACAGTACAGAGTGGCGCCAGTCAGATACCGGCATAAGGCAGCCGCACGTGCCCAGGAGTGATTCAAGATAGGACTGGACAGGCCTGCAGAGGCAGGGACCCGGTGAAGGAGCCACCAAGACGGAGAGGTGTCCTGGAGGGAGCGGGCCACTGCAAAGGGCCGCCCTCCTCCCTAGGAGGCGGCTCCCAAGAGCCAGGCCCCCGCCACTGCCAGCCTGGGTGTGGCAGACAGAGAACAAACACCCCCACATCTTCCTCTTCCAGCCCTCAGCCCCTCACCAACCCCCCCCCAAGTCCAAACTGCCGACGGGGAGCTGGGCAAGTCAGGCCCCACAGCACAGCCCCCGGGGGTCACAGCGAGTGCACCAGTGTGGGCAGAGGTCTGGAAAGCCGGAGGAGCGGAGGAGCATCCAGCGGCGGTGACCGCTCTGTGGAGCCCGCTCAGCTGGGCGTGGCGGCACACACCTGTAATTAAAGCAGTGGGAGGGAGAGGGACCACAGATGGAGGCCAGCCTGGGCAGCACACCAAGACCCTGGCTCGAAGAAAGACCAAGAAGGTCTGCAAGATGGCTCACCAAGCCTGCCGCCTGCATCCAGTGCCCAGACCCCACGTGGTGGAAGGAGAGAACCGAGTCCTGTAAGCTGTCCTCTGACCTCCACGTGTATGTCCCGACACTCTCACGCCTCCCCCCACACACACACCAGAAAATAAATAAAATCGGTTACGTAATTATAAGTCAGGGCAGATCTTGTCTCAAAAAATCCAAACCAAAAGAAGAAGGAAGAAAGGAAGGAAGGGCAGTCTGGGGGCTGGGGAGATGGGGAATAAGGTGCCCGCTAAGTTCCAGCACCCACACAGAGCTGCGCATGGTGGTGTGAGCCTGTAACCCCGGCCTTGGTGGGCGGCGGCGGCGGCGGCGGCGGCGGCGGCGGCAGGAGGCTCTGCCAGGCAATGCAGCTGAACCAACTAGCTCCATGTTCAGTGAGAGAGCGTGTCTCCAAATACAGCGTGGGAAGCTTGGCATCAACCGCTGGGCCCTTGCATCCACATGCACACAAGCACACACTGTCACACGTACACACACGTACACACACACATGCACACTCACACAAACACACTCTCACACATACAGTCATGCACACTCACATAAACACACACCTTTACACATGCACACACACATACACACACTCTCTCACACATGCACACATACCCAAACACACACTCTCTCACATATGTACACACACACACACACACTCACTTGCACACACATACACGATCATGCACAAACACTACACAAATATACGCAAATACATAAATTTGGGGAGGGGTTGGTTTTTCGAGACAGGGTTTCTCTGTGTAGCTTTGGTGCCTGTCCTGGATCTCGATCTGTAGACCAGGCTGACCTTGAACTCACAGAGATCTGTTCGCCTCTGCCTCCCCAGTGCTGGGATTAAAGGCGTGCGCCACCACCGCCCAGCACATACATAAATTTTTTTTTTTTTTTTTTTTTTTTTTTTTTTTTTTTTTTGGTTTTTCGAGACAGGGTTTCTCTGTGTAGCTTTGCGCCTTTCCTGGAACTCGCTTTGG